GCGGGCTGGCATTGGCTCTATCAGTAATGGGGGAAGCTTCTGGCATTTTGTGACGGAAGCCACCCCTGTAGCCCCTCTGCTACCAAAACCTTGCCATGCAAACCCAATGCACTGGGGCAAACCTCGAGGAAAACAAATTGTCCTATGTTAATTTAAGTGTCTGTCTTTCACCTTCAGGAGGTTTCTTATCTTCCCTTGCAGATGTCATGAAGCAGTGGTGCAGGTTTTCATAAAATGAACCTTCCCCACCCTCCAACCCTGCAGTGCCTGGCAGCTGAGCGAGGCACATCACTGCAGATATCCGAGTTCAGCTACCTGAATTTACAGCCTTCAAAAATACCTGGGCAGTTCATAGTGCTGGCACACAGTGATGGGCTGTCTGCTATGAATCTGAAGGCTCTTCAAATTCCAGATTCAGGAGTAGCTGTTCTGGTAGGTGCTGCTGCCATGTAGTGTCTCCTCCACACAAGGCTCACTGCTGTCCCTCCTATCCAGTAGGGTCATTTGACTCCAAATTGACCAGATCAACATGGATGTACTAATTATCATATTGTTGATACAGACCCTTCTTACTTTTACTGCAATGTAGCAGAAGCAGTCCAGGTTGCAAATTTTTGCACTCAGTAACTGCTGGCACAAGGCAAGTGTATGAGCATCTGAGGATGGTGACCTGTTCAGCAAACACAGCTTTTCATTGCAGCTCTTCTCTGTGTCAGACATGACTGCCAAATGGCATTTTGCTAGCAAACTAAAGTAGTAAAACCTGTATTTGCAAGTCATCTACTTATCAGTGTTATCAAAACATTTTCTACAGACTTTTTCTTATTCTAAGAAAAGAGAGGTTTTGAGTTTTGGGGTTATTTTTCATCGTCAACTTAGTTTGCCATTTGTGGAAGCCTTTATAACTGTGACAGCAAAACCCCCACCTTTCCCTGACAAATATTGCATCTCCACTACAGAGCTGTTTGCATAGCCACAGAAGCAGCAATGCTTTAGAAGAACACAACCACAGATTGAGTCAGATTTTTTTTTGAAGTAATGCAAATTAATTAAACTTTAAAAAAAGAAAAGCTTGAAAGACATGTAACTACAGAGTGCAATTAAAAAGCAGTTCTGTGCCCTCCGTGAGCTACCAGCACTAACCAGCCCATGCAGGACTCCTTCGTCAGGCACAGGACACATCCAGTCCGGTTGCCCATCCCTGATGCTGGGCCAGTTCCAGTTCTAGCTTCAGAAGTGTGTATGGGAATCCTGCTGTGGCACAAGTGGGGTCATTTATTCCCCACATGAGGACTCACAATTAAAATCAGAAATTAACTGATGTGCTGAAGCATGAGTGTTAGTATTTCTTTTCTTTCATCAGCAGTGTAACACAGGCTGTACTCGGTAGGCCCATGAATGCCCAGTCTTCCTTCTGACCCATGCAAGTTTCTTGGCCTCTTTAATGGCCAGTGACAATGACTTCAGGAATTAATCAGCTCTGCAAGCACAATGATTTTTCATTTGATCCCCTGTAGGATAATTGCACTGTTGTATAATGGATCAGGGAGACAAATTCCAGCTCTCTCTTCACCAGTGGCAGGGACAACAAACAATAACTAGTAGAGTAACTGCAATTTTTGTTGTATTACCCCCCTCCCCCACACGTCTACAAGAAGATACCCCATTCAGCAAAACAGATAGCAACAGAAGTAGCTTTGCAATGTTTCAGGTGCCACTGTGATGTACAGGCTTTGCAAGAAAAATTTAGGAAGGAGCTGAGTCTCAGTCACATGGATAGGATGTGGAGAGCAGAGCAATCGTTCAGAAGAGGCACAGGCTGTCAGGGGTGTTCATGAAGTCCTGCAGGTAAGCACAGGCTTGCCGGTGCAGGGTGGTGCGGCACTCGCTGTCTTCTGGGATTTTCTCTACCCAGGCTTGTGCATCAAGGAAGTACTGCATCCTGCATGCAAGTGGGACAGGTAAAGGAGGTGAGTCACTATTGCTGATATGGAGCAACGGGAAAGTGCAACCCTGTGGGGTTGCATCCCTCCACTGAGGCATCCCTGAGATCAGGAGGAGTTACATGAGCCAAGAAACTTGCCTGAAACCTAGTTCCACCAGCAGGTTAACTGAGCTTTGAATAAAGTTTAGGAAGAGTCAATGCCAAGCTGGGACAAATCTGGCTGTAGTTGTGTTTTGAGTGACACCAGGCAAGCTTGGGCTAATTTTCTGTTAGGATTTTGTGGACTGGCACAAAAAACCCCAGTGAACACCAATGGGACACAGTGAAGGGACATTTAGTTTCAACAGAGTATCCCAAAATGTTTCCTAATTTTCTGTGGTGAGAGCCCATGTAGCTTCTGGCATTTTACAACTGGACTGGAGAAGACTTTGGAGGTTACACCTGTGCTGGGAGACTTCAGTCTTTAGCAGGCATCTGTTGAAGCAGGCCCCCGACTTAAGCACTCACACTGGTGTCAGAGATGGAGAGAGGGGACCTTCTAAGGTTTTAGGAAGTGGCGCTTACAATTCAGTGGAGGTGGACTCCCTCCTAGAAGCTTTCAAAGGCACTACCTTTCTCCAGGTGAACACAGGGAAATGAAACATTTAAGATGGCTTCCTCACTGAATATTTAATAGAGTCAGACTAAATTCCTCTTCAAATAAATTCCCTTTTTTCATTAAAGTGTGACAATGAGAAATGAGAAGAATGAATTATCTGCATGTGTGATATAACAGAAGCTTTGAGAGCTGCTCTTAGACACAGTCCCACCCGTTTCTTTTGCAAACACAGCAGCTGTGTAAGGCATTTGCAGCAGACGGAACTGTGTAGCATTTCCCATTTTCCTTTTCTAGCCATAAGTTTTTAACCCAGTGGAGTAAGGGCCAGATTTTGATTCTGAGAAGTGTGCGAACCAGGCTCTGCACAGATAGATGAGCCGATAGATTTGGGTGGCTCAGCTGCTGCCCACAGCTTGCGTTTTGCCTATGGGGTGGTGTTTTTTGCATTTTAGTAAAGCCAACTGAGTCAGTCCTCAGGAAATTTGGCCCTCCCTTTGCTTTCCGGAGATATTCTAATAGCTTAAGTATCCTCTGGATTCACGGTCCACGATAGCAGCCGCTGCTGCTCAGAAACCATTGCACTTACTTGTTGTTGCAGTCAACTGTTTGCCCATCTTTCCCCATGAGGAGGTACCGTTTGCCAACGACCATGTTTAACTTGCACGTGGAGCGCTTTAGGAACTGTCGGTGGGCACCCACTTGGATGCTTTCATCAGTGGCTGTGGCATGAGAAGAGAAAACACCATGAACTTTTCTGATAAAGAGTAGAACCGTAGCCCACAGGACACAACCCCTCATTTACTCCACTG